TCGTAATTGTTTGGCCAAAAACAACACCGTTATCATGCCTCAGCCACCGAATTCACCAGATTTGGCCCCAAAGACTTTTTTCTGTTCCCAATATTGAACAGAATCAAGGGCATACCAGAACTGCTTTGAGGATTGGAACAAACGCTGGCACAAGTTTATTATATCTTAGAGGGGCTACTTTGAAGGGGTCAATATCGAAATTGATGAATAAATATTTTTCAAGAAAAATGGAAATTCATTTTATTTTTTGAACAGACCTCGTACGATGAAATAACGTTATTGGTATTCATTTCAGCTGATTTGGATTTCAATGAAAGTTTTGTTGAGATATGACTAGCCTTTTTGCAGTATTTTACTTTCATATTCCTCTATTTATAATCTAGTTGGATATGCATGAAAAGTTCCTACTATGAGCGGGTGTTTTTGGGTATAGACATGATTCAAATTTCCAATACAAATAGTAAATCACAAACTTGCACTCAGTTTTTGACGAATGAAATTATTTTTTTGCACTGCAAATGATATCTCGAAATTAATGCTATGTTTGATAACATTTTTATATTTGATACCGTACACTTACATCATAATGAGTCGAACAGTTGATAATAAACGAGGAGATAAAGGCCGTTTATGTTTTTATGATATCATTTTACCTTCATATTTTCATCAATAAACACCTACATTTACATGGAGGAACATTAAAATTTGGACCAAGAGATAAGCTAATTTTTATGCTGATTATTTTTCATATACCATTCGTAAAACGTTTTATTGCTTATTTTATGGTCAGATTGGTGGTCGTTTGTTTCGTTGCACTCATGAAACCACCATAATTTAAATGTTGGCAGGATTCCAGCTCTGGGAAGATGGGTTTCGAGTTCAAAATCGCACATTGGTAAGTAAGACTTCGTTAATCGTGAACCCGTTCAAGTTCTTGAGGGTTGTCGTTTGTATGAGAACGATAACTGATTAACATAAATACTTATTTCATATGTTGCTGCATATGCTGTTGGCGATACAACTGTCGGAATCGACTTTCAATTATTGGAACACTCTTGCAGTCCGGGCTGTTTGGCCACTCGTCAGTGCAAGGTAGTGTCTATCATCAACATGAAGCGAACGACAAAACAACATGTTTGTCATCGCTCCAGCTGCATGTGAACGAGGTAATCAACAGCATATCCGAATTTGTCCAAAATCCTCGTATGCAGTATATGCAGGAGTAACTCAAGTATGCTTACGTACTTTATGTAAAGAATTCTTTCCTTATTTAAGGAATTTGGCCAAATTTGGATATCCTATCGGTTACCTCGTTCACAGGCAGATGGGGCGATGACATACATGTTGTTTGTCATCGCCCCTAACCTAGTTCGAGGAATGATACTCTGAAATAATTCGATTTTTTATTATCGAAAATCATCGAATTCATGTTGATGATGCGGACGAGTGGAGAAACAGCCCGAAACCGATCTGCAATGATGGAAAAACGACTCCGGCAGCTGTATCGGCATACAGGAATAACTTCAGTGAAAAATCCTGCACTGACCCGTGTTGGATATAATCCAACGCCCTTCGTGGTATTAGTCAGGGAAGTAGTTGTTTTCTGATAGGTGTCAGTCCATTAACCTACAGGAAAGGTAAGTTGAGACTGGCCTGAACGAATTGTTCTTGTAGATAATTTGATTTATAGTTAGTATCCAAGTATGCTACTTACTTTATGACATGAAATAAGTTGACATTTTGAATTTTGGTGGTTTGCATACATACTTAGTTTTTGTAATGTTCCTAAGCAACTTCAATTAGCGCCCTAGGAGTGGGTTTTTTCATGAAAAGTACCAAAAGTTTACTGTCAAAAAAGTGGCAATTTGAAATAAATAATGACAGCGTAATAAATAATGACAGCGTACGCAGCGCCCTCTAGATGTTGCATGAAAATTAATACAAAATTATGATTTTCCACGTCAAAAAACCCCAGTACCAAATTTTGTCCAAATAACTTATTTCTTGTAAAAGTTATTTTTAAAAAACGAACCAAAAATTCAATTTCAACACGCTGTATCTCCGAAACGAAACATTTCCGGATACAAGTTCATATAGACTTTTTTTCTTAAAAATTGTCTCAGAAATACGTAACTTGAATATTTTAACGTACTTGTTGAAACGATGCTTCAAACCAGACAGCCTGCCCTTGAAACAAAATCCTATCGACCAATATCCATCACCTATACAGTGCAAATTACTCGAAAAAATAGTGAATAAACGTTTAATGTGGGTTTCAAATCTCACAGATCAACCTGGAGGCTTTTGAAAACCAACAGAAATGCATGGCAGTCTATTTCGATATTAACAAAGCTTTCGAAATTGCGTGGCGTTTTAATATTCTAGACAAATTGAAAAAATGGGGTTATGATGGGAATATATTAGCATTTGTACAGAACTTCCTTTTGGAAAGAAAGTTCCAAGTTCGAGTAAATGGTACATTATCACAGTGCAAGATTCAAGAAAACGGTATTCCTCAGGGGTCGATAATAAGCCCCACTCTATTTCAAATAGAACTCAATGACGTCTTACATTCCTTGAAAAAACCCCTTCAGGCAAGAATATACGCAAATGATTTGGTACTATTTGTCAAAGGAAAGAATATCCATAACCTAGCTAAACTGTTACAGCTCCACATAGGTTCTCTAGAGAAATGGTCCAAAACCACAGGATTCAATTTTTCTACAGAAAAAACGAACTGTATTCTAAAAGAAAAAATGCGAGAACTCACAACAATGAAAATGAATAACACAAAATTAACATTCGTAACAAACATCAGACAGATTCTTAGGGATGATATTCGACCAACAATTAAATTGGAAGCTACATGTCAAACATCTAGTGCTATCATGCCAAAAAGGAACGAACCTACTCAAACACCTAGCTCATAAACAATGGGGTGCAGAAGGTTCAACACTGATACTGCTGTACCGATCTTTAATACGCTCTGAATTAGATTATGGTTGTATTGCATATGCTTCTGCTAAACGAAGAACATAATCTCAACTGGATTCAATACATCATTCTGCTCTGCGCATAATCGCAGGAGCGTATAGGACCACACCAGTGGAAAGCCTCTACTGTGAAATAGGAGAACCTTCCCTGAGTTTTCGCAGAACCCAGTTGAGTTTGTCATATGCTGCCGCAGTTGCATCTATGAAAAACATTCTCACCTACAGGAATACAATAACAAATCGATTTCCAACAAGTTACTGTCAGCCAAGAACTGATCTTCCATTTTACGAGAGGATCCGATGACAAGTAAGTTTTTTACAAATGGAGTCATTTCCAACCCCGTATCCCACAAACATCAAATCTGCACCACCATGGCTCATACAGAATCCTAACATAAACACTCACCTATCCCAGTTTCCCAAACACGATACCAATAAGAACATCATCAAACGAAATTTTCGACAAATCCTGGACCAATTCGACCACCTTGAAGAAATATACACAGACTCATACAAAACTCATCTTGGTGTAGAAGCTGCAATAGTGACTGACTATGCTGCATTGACCTTTAAACTTCCAGAAACAGCAACAATATTAACTGGAGAATTATTCGCCATCCTTCAAGCTCTCCAGTATGCTAAGTCAAGTACATCGGACACTGTTTCAATCATTTCAGACTCTTTCAGTGCCTTACAACTCCTTCAATGGATATATATATATATATATATCAAACACTCCATTGGAATACTTATCAAACAACAATTTTTCGAACTCCAATCGCTCAAGAAGAAAAACATTTTATGTTGGGTTCCTTCACATGTGGGGATTGTTGGAAACGAGAGTGCTGACTTCTATGCTCGTGAAGCGATTGATAATCCGAACCAAGGAACAACAATGTATAGCCCTCATACCGACTTGAAACAATACTTCAAAAGCGAATTGTTGAGTAAATGGAACATTGAATGGCAGAGTACCCCATCCAAACTGAGAGAATGGAAACCCAAAGTCGGACCATGGAACTATGGAACACTGAAAAGAAGGGAACACGTTATGATCACCCGTCTTCGATTAGGACACACCAAACTAACCCACGAATACTTGATATCTCTAGCAGATCAACCACAGTGCCACATTTGTGAACTATACATCACATCATAGTGTTTCAATTAGAAAGGGAAATGTGCAAAATATCGACGGTATCGCAGGAAACCTCGAGTTATTTTAGTGCTAGCAAGATTTTAAATTATTTAAGTGCTCTGGACTTATCTAACAAAATATAATGTTGTAATCAATATAGTTATTGCTTGTAAATATCTTTTCCGCCGCTAATAACCATAGGGTTATTTTCAAATAAAAAAAAACAGACAGCCAGTCGATCGATTCTCAGTGCGTTTCGTCCATCTACGAATCGTTGAGAACAAATATCTCGGTAATCCCCATCTTGCACATTTCTCCACTTCTGAGGGTTGTCTTTCTCAAGGAGTGAGAAAGACAACCCTCAGAACGGTTTGAACTGATTCATTATCATTCATAATGTAAGAAGAAACAACGTCAGCTTCGCTATATCTATCATTTCTTGAAGGTACACACGAATTGACGTGTTTGGAGACAATTTGTGGATTGAACTGTTTTATAAACCCATTAAAACAATGTTGTAAATGATATCGTTCGGGTAATTTAAATTAAAAGATAAAAATCTTTTAATTGATCAAGCAAAGTTCGAGAATTTGCACATATAAAAATATAAGGACATTTTTATATTGTGCAAAAAGAGGAATGAGAAAAATGGCTGTCGAATTCTTGCGTTTTTGTTGGTATTGAATTCACCTACTCATATTATATGAATAGCCTTTTTGAATATTTCACTGTCAAGTTCAAATCCGTTCAAAGTTAAAACTGTTGTTTTTCGTATCAGTTTACCTATTCCATATCTACCTTTTCGATTATTGGTATCATAGCTTTATTTTGTGAAATATGAACTACAAGTATGTATAAAAAGTTCTTACCACGAGCGGTTTCATTTCGTGTGAAGACATGGTTCGAATTTCCAGCAGAAACGATAAATCACAAACTTGCACTCAGTTTTCGTCAGTTGAAAGCACTCAATGTCGAGTTATTTCGTTTCTCACTTTTCTCGCTTTGCTTATAGGTTGGAATATACTCGAATAAGTTTTTTATCGTCGATCCTATACATGCATATCAAAATTTGCTGAATAGGCTACAGCTGATTATATACGAGGAGATAACGACAATTTTTTTATGTCAGGGTATTAATTTATCTTTCTGTCTACGCCAATGAATGAATGGTTGCATTTATCCGTAGAAATTAAAATTAGAATCGAGGAAAAGGAAATTTTCATGTAGATTGTTCATCATATCCCATTCATTATTGCTGATTTTATGGTAGGAAGTGGTTGTCTGGTTCCATCTAGTTGTTTTGTGAAAACTGCAAAGGAAGACGAAAGGCAAATTTTTTTCGTTGGTTGATATCTGTGGTTTGAGTCTTCGTTGATAGATGGCGTCGTCGTTAAAATACCGCAGTCGAGTGGAGGTGAGGTGCATTATCCTGAAGTGTGTATATCCATTACAAAATAGTGTATGACTCTGACCCCACTAGGTGTCACTAACTAAATCTTCAAAATACTAGGCGCATTCTCGTCGTAGAAAGCTTTGTCACGGTAATGTGTGAGACTCTATAAACCATGCAGTAACCAAAAAATTCAACCTTGAGTCTACAGAGGAGATGGAAGTTGAATAAACAACCCCAACTATTCTCCCAGTAATTTAAGATCAAGAGCAAGAGTTCTCTTTTGATCCTCTTAACAAGCCTATGAGGCCAGGTGGAGCAACCAAAGCGATTCATCGCCTTCTCCAGACCGTGATATTCTATCAACCTGCCTTGCATCAAATTTTCGAGGACTACAAGCAGAATCTACAGCAGTACTGGAAACAAATAGCTCCTGCGTAGATCAGCAAACACTTCTGCTCAAAACAACTAGGATTTACTCAAACCAAAAGCGAAAAAGTCCCGCAGGTGAAACTGGCTCACAGATATCAAATACTCTCATATGGAAAAATTACTTCGGTCATGAAGGAAGGAATCTTGCACATTGGTTATCCGACAACCTCAATATCGACTATTCTTCAGAGGATATTCCAGAAGATGGTCCACAGATACGATTTTAGAGCTGCATATTGCGACCTGGATGGCTACCAGAGCTGGTGGGTTCAGTCATGAGAGAATGTTTCCCGAAATTGCGTCACAAAAAAGCCATTTCCCAAGACACATATTTATGTTGCTTACCTGATGAAGGTAATCGCCGCTGACTGATCACCGATCAGGTCCACCTTAGAGAGGATTATTCTCCCCAAGGTAATTCAGAGTCTGTTATCAAAATGTGCCTGCTGCGCATAAAATCCGGGTTTCAGCGTATCAACTTCGTTGAGCAGCTGAATTTATTTGGCCATGTTTGAATGGCTGTCAGTAGAAGGTTGACTCATTTTGGATCTACCTACCTACCTACTAAAAGGATGTTCATGTTTTCTTAGACTCAGGGCTGAGTCCAACAACGCATTCTTGGTTGGTTTAGCACAACTGAAAAATTACTGTTGGGTATTAGATCACGAATACTTTGTTTTTAGGTCCTGGTTCATTCGGATATGATGATTAGTTATCAATCTCAATTTGTTCTTTTTTTTAGAAACCATGTTGATGTAATAATTTCTTCAGCACATTTTTGAACTTATTCATATTGTATAATTTCAGTAATATACGGTTATAAATTTAAGTACCTCTATAGGAGTATAGAGGTCCTGTTCTGTTGAACTTGTAGTTGGCTTGGATGACAGACTAATCTTGGTGTTGCTGTTGGAAAATATATAATTAAGTCTAATAATTGTTGTACCATGTATATTTCCATATGACAATTTTATGGATAGTTGAATTAAGTTGTAAAAATTTGAAATATAACAGAAAGTTGTCAAATTGGATGAAACTATGATTTGATCGGTATATTTGGTTTCTATTACGAAAAAAACTTAAGTAAGCATTCCGGCTCACAGAACCATCTCTGATAATGCTGGTTTACCCCGTGTATTCTTGAACTATTGATATCCAATACTCCTGTCTTATTTCATTCGCCGCATACTCCTGCTCATGAAGTTCAACTTTGGAATTATAGAACTGTAATGACAGCATTCTTGACATTCAACTGCACGTCCAGCGAATTTCTTAATCTTCGTTTTAATCTCTGAATGTCATCATCATCAAAACTGCCCTACTGGCAACACCGAATCGACCATAACTAGCTGGATCTATGCCATGCTGGTAAACAGAAGTGCAACTACGACTCTTCAAGGTGAGGCCATCCCGTTCAGGGTCACCAGAGGCTGCCCTCAAGGTGGGGTACTATCTTCCCTTCTGTGGTCGTTCCTGATGGATAGTCTGCTTGATGCCCTCGACAGAAAAAAAGTAGATCTGCAAGCTTATGCAGATGACCTTGTCATCTTGACAAGGTCCACGCCGGTAAGGATAGCTTGTAATATCCTCCAAAGCAAGATGGACATTGTTGGTGCCTGAGGGAGCAGATCTCTGTCAACCCTAGCAAAACTGTGATAATCTCCTTCACCAGGAGGAGAAAATCGGACGATCTAACGCCACTTTCCCTCAATGGTAAGGTCATTCCATTTGGAACGGAGGTTAAATATCTTGGCATTGTCCTTGATGAAAAACTCACCTGGAACGCTCACTTGGAAAAAGTTTTACACAAAGCCAGACTGTTTCTATGGACATGTCGAAGGATTTGTGGTAAAACTTGGGTTTTAGGTCCCAAACAAATCCATTGGATTTATGTGATGATTGTCAGACCGATGATCACTTAAGGTGCAATTGCCTGGTGGCCGAAGGCTTTACAGAAAACGGCCCAGGCTTGCAGAGACAGGCTTGTCTGGCCATTGGGGGTGCAATCACACCGATAGCGGCCATGAAGATCCTTCTAGATCTACCACATCTCCACATTTTTCTGGAGAGAGAAGCTAGATAGACTGCATATAGACTTGAGCACATTGCCAATTGCACAAATCAATTTAATGCAGAGTGCAATAGACTGTTGGTTGACACTGGAAGTCTCAGCATTCTGGAAATGACTTCTGACTTCATGCCTCCAACTGTCAACTACGAATAAAGTACTGTTTCCGAGAAGAGAGGAGTGGATCCCCCGGGAGAAGGAAGGAAGGATGGACAGATGGATCATAAACACCTTCCGGTTCTGGTGCGGGTGATTTCAGTTGCAGACCCAGGACACAAGTGATTAAAAATATTTTCGGGCAGTCAAGCGGCGATGAAAGCTCTTGGCTCCTACTGACCAATATCTAAATTGGTAGTAAATTGTCTAAAAAGACTTTCCTCGATAGGAAGACTCAACAGATTGTCTCTGGTGTGGATTCCTGGCTATACTGGCTTAGAAGGCAATGAGGCTGCTGATTCCCTGGCAAAGGAGGGCGCTGCAAGCAGCTTCATCGGACCAGAACCTGTCATTGGCATCGCTTTAGGCTTTGCCAAACAAAGATTGAACACCTGGATGGCAAGAGGTATTATGGACTTTTGGCAGAATCTTCCAGGATTGGCTCAATCCAAGGCATTTATTTGCCCTACGAACCTTGATACCAAACAGTTATTGGACTACAGTAGGTATGAACTACGATAGATAGATAGATAGATAGATAGATAGATAGTTCTTTATGTCCAAAAGGTATAAGTACACCCAATAACAGGAAATGTATAAACTGGATAAATGTAAATTTAAAGAAGAAAAAATGTTTCAAATATGATAGTAATGTACATTCACATGCATGTGTTAGCAGGATTAGATACAAAAGAGAAAAAAAATGTTACAAATTGTAAGTAAATGTCATAATACAATTTATTATGATAGATAATGGAGATATATTAATGTCACATGAACCACATATCAGATTGAAATTATTGCAAATGATTGAAACAGGCGATGTCTTTAATGTGTCTGTTCTAGCACGATCACAGTAAAATACCTTTGCGTGCTTACTATTTAGTCGAGGTACAGTAAACGGAATTTTTGCTAGCAGGAATTCACAGCTTATGTTATTATGTAGTAAATTATAAAGGAACGTTATTGTTAGAATGATACGTCTAGTATTCAGTGAGATGAAATTGCTTTCATTGAGAAGTATAGACTAATCAATGTTACGGTCTGGGTAAATACAAAATTTTTTCAAATATAAATATTTTAAAAATTTTCTTTGAACTCCTTCTACAGAACTTATTTGGGTTGCATGATGGGGATACCATATTAATACCCCATATTGTAATTTGCTGCGCACATAACAGTTGAATAGTAATGTCAGAGTTGCTGGATCTGCAAATTCCCTACCATTCCTTAAAATTAAGCCTAACATTTTATTAGCTGAAGACACGGTACTTTGAATATGAGGATTGAATCTTTTGGTCAAATAATATGCCTAGGTCGCGCATTTGAGTCAAACGATGTCCAACAGGCCTTCTTACAGGTCACTGTCATTTGAATCATCATATGCAGAAACTCGGACTGTCGGAAGACAGTGTGTGTCGCCTCTGTTTGGAAAATGATGAAAGAGCAGAGCACATACTATGTCCCTGCCCTGCTGGGAACCGAATCAGGTTTTTAGAGTTCGGCAGAACCGTTTTCTTACCATATGATCTGAAAGACCACTCACCATACAAACTAATCGGCTTTGTTAAGAAGCTGGATTTATTTGGTCGAGTGTGAATGGGTGTGAGCCACAATAAACCCTCACGGGTTGGGGTGGAGGGTCTAATAGGTGAGGTCCACTCACTTTGGACCTGAACTAACCTAACTAGCAACACCACATTTGGGTGCAGCTGGGAATGATTGTTGCGATTGATTGAGACTACTTCGAAAGCTGTGCTGAAAAAACAAGCTCCACGAGGACAAGTGTTATTGATAATGATCGAAGCTGAACACACCGACAACTCTTGCCCATTTTCCATATTTTTATATTCTTAAAATCAAGAAGCCCCCACGCCCAACGATTTTTTAATCGATACCTTGACTTCGGCCTGTATGTTCAGTTTTAGTTACACGAAAACACTAAAAATATGCTCAATATTTAGCAGACTGCTTTTGGCCATGGCGGATAAAGAAGTATTTGCCAACCCTCATAACAAGAACTGAGTGGTTTCA